GAATACTCGAATAGAGGTAAAACAGATTTTAATTCAGATGGATAGAGCTTTCCCTTCTGCTAGAATTCCTTTACTCGACTTTGAGTTCTGCAGGTGCGCTTTGACAAATAACCTTAAATTGAGTTCTTTATTAAGAGGGCACAGTGTACTTCTGCTAAAGAGACAACAGCTAAAATATTTGTAAAACATTTGTTAAATATTGATCTTGGAATCTATTCTAAAACATTGCATTCCTCTCCAAGGAACACAGGTGTGCCTCAAATAAGAGCAACAGTGGTAAAATTGCAAACATTGTTCTATATATTACCATACAACATGCTGTTCTGCTCCAGTAGTGCATCAATGCCAAGTCACATATTTGATGTAATGAAAAGCCTTTAAAAATATTAGATGTTAAACTAATATTTCACAATTTTTTCCCCACTGAAAAATTTTCAAAGACTACTTTTGACAGTATCTACTCAATAATTCACACAGTTTTTAAGGCATCTTAATAAAACTTCCAGTGGCTATATTCCAGTGCAGTCTTTGTTGCAGATAATAGTATGGAAAACTACCCAGTGAGGTGCATCTGGCAGAGTGAATTGTCAGACTACAGCCTCAGGTTTAGATGTCATCATACTACATTCAGTAGTTTTCAAGGAGGAAACTGGAATCACAGTATTTCCTCAGGAGGGACACGCTGCTCTTTCTGACAGATGGCACATTCATGGGTTGCTGTATGCATAAAAGATGCTACAAGAACACTCCATAGATTGTCCAGAAGAGAGGGCGACTCTTCTGCCTGTCAATATGCAAGGACTCCACTAATTTCAGTGAAACTGCAGCAGTGTTTCACAGCTTGAAAGTCTCCCCTATTGCCAACAACTATTGTCTCCACTAATACCAGTAGCATTGCTACAGTACATCAGAAAGCGTGATGGCTATTTTACGAATTTATCTAAGCTGAAGGCATTTGCCTGTTTTAAGGAACTTGTGTATCTTATATCTTGTGTATAATTCAGAATTCTTAATACCGTTAAGAGTTATAACTTATACAAACAGTATTTTCTTTACAACAGCATCATTGTTTTTTTCCTTCAGACATCCCTACATTACCCTTATTTCAGATGGAACGTTGATCTAAAATCGCCTTCTACACGAACCCCACTTTTGGCTCAGTATTTCACTCTTGAACAAATACCAGAAGTTCTTAATCAGCTCCTATTTTAAACTGAGTGTGTCTTGTTTCAGAAGATAATTCGCTTAGGCAGTTGTATCTTTGATGACAAAGCTTTTGTTAAATTCTGACACAGAATGGACTCAAGCTTACCTTCATTTTCCTTTGTATATTTTACACCATGTGGATGCAGTGTGTAGTTTCTGGAAGCAAAGTTTTTCAAGTGAACAACAATGGAATCACCAACTTCTCCTTTAATGATAGGGCCTAAAAAACCCAGCCAGGAAGGTTTCTCCACTATCACATCATATAAAATATCAGTGTACTGAGTGTAGACAGCCTTCTTATAAATGCTTCCTATCCTTTGCGGTCCTCTTTTAAGGAAGACTTCAGCTTGCCTGTAAAGAAAATACACAATGTCAGATATTCACTTTATACTTGAAAAGTGCTAATTAGCAGATCTCAAACAAAAGCCAAGTCTCCGTAGCACTGTGCACAATCTGCCTTTAGAAGCAAATACATTCACATTTCTGAAGAGTACAGGCACTCAGATAGAGACTAAATGCTACACACCAACTATGAATTTTTTCTACCTATTTTGTAGACTGAAGATAAGGATACTTGACACAATTTTCTGCTGCTTATAAGTCAAACAACAGGTCTTCCTGCTCAACATTTTTGTACATGCTTCAAGTTCTGCATAATCTTCCAAAGCCAGTTAAAACCAACAAGTATCATGTTATGTTGACTTCACAGTCAGCAAGGAGAAGACTCTTCTTACTAGTGATATACTTCTTCACTCTTCATTTAGTATAGTTCTACTTCATTTTAAAAGCACTGAAAAAAGTAGAAAGGATGACTATTTTTTTTTCCTGTCCAATACTTTCTTTGGTGCCTCTGATATCTGAGTTTTCTTTATTCATTATTTACGTCTTCAGGGTATCACCTTTCTCCTCACCACAGTTATCCTCTATTTCTCATACTGCACAGAGCCTTTCTTGCATGAAACACTCCAGCTGTTGCATCTCCACAAGAAAGAGACCACTGCCAACAACAAACATTTACAAAGGAAAATTGTGCCCAACAGAAAAATCAGAACAGAAAAAACATGTTAAACTTCTGAGTTCAAAAATGTAAAAGCAGAAGCCTTCCCTTCATCACTGCCACTTGGCTAATTCAAAATAACAGTAGGCATTCACATGATCATTTCCCTACCTCTGGTTAATAAACATTTCATTACGATAAAGTCACAAAAAGAACGTTACATTGTACAACATTTTTCATCAGCAGAGAGTCGCAACTTCGTTCTTAAGCAAGTCAGGAAAAAGTAAATACTCCCTTATATGTCAGCCACCAGGTTCACTGACACTAGCACAATTCATTTCACCGACTTCACCAGGTCCTGGTCCTAGCATCTAAAGCAGACAATTAATTGCTATTAAATAAAACTCCATCAGTACGAACTATGAACTACGAACTACATTACTTACTCTTCTTCTGCAAAACGTTGTCCAGATATGATATCAGTACTACCAGGAGCATAGTCCCATGCTGTCTCTATAATCCCGATGTAATACTCCCTGGTCACTGCCCCACTTCGGCAACAGCAAAAAAACAGCACAACGTTTAGCAAGTACAGCTTCATTCTGCATTCACGAACCTTGTGGAAAGCGTGAAACAGAGAACGGGTACATGCAATTTCCCTTTATATGGTCTTTCTTTCCCACCCCCACCCTTACCCTCCTGATTTGCTTTGGCGAATATAATAAAACGTTGCACAATGTCTCTGTGCGTGAAGTGTAAACAAGAGATTCTGGTAACCTTGTTAGTTCTCGTAATCTTCAAAGGAATTTTTTCCATTTCTGCCAGCTACTAGAACTGTTATCAGTACTACTAGTACTAGACTGTTATCAGATTGTAAATCTTGTAGTTTAATTGAAGGTAAATAAGTTTAGCTACCTTCTTCATTGTCTTTATCCCTATCTCTGTAGCCTGTATGCTGTTGAGAAAATCATTTCTGTGAAGACTGGCTGAAGAACACAATGTTTTAGGTGCGCTTTGAAAAGCAATAAATGACATCAGTTTCTCTCGCTGTGTCTGTTCTGTGTGGACATAACTGAAAGCAAGGCAGATCCTGCACATGCAAACTTCTGCTGCATATTTATCTTGTGCTTTCTGAATCTACAGCTCTCTTCTGCTTTCCCTTTGTACAGCAAATACTGAACTGGCAAGAGAGAGATGGATGAAGGAGGACTGAGGTTACTGTTGTCAGAGCAGCATTTGGACACTGATGCATACTTGGATAAGCTCTGCTAACCTACCACAGTTCCCATGTAAATATAATTTTAGAACGAAGTATGGAAAATATAGCTAAAGAAGAAATGGATACGTATTCAAGGATTGAGGCCAAGGCAGGGGAATGGTTGCATTCCATTTCCAAGCAATTTCAGTACTGCTCAAATGGAAAATAGGCTCAGAAATTCCACAGAATTAACTCCTTACGTTATCCTCCTTCAGGCCTGCTACTGGACAGGATAAGCCACATTCCTCAATGATTAAAAGCATAATAGATGTATGAAGCTCAAGATCATTGTAACAGCTACTGTTATCTAAATTTACTATTCATTCTTGAAGGTTACACTTTTGTTTTATTCAAATTTGGCAAATATTCTCTATTGACTAGTTTTGTTGAAAAACAACAACAGAATTAACCTTAAACCCAGGACTTTCAAAAAGCACCTAACCAGACTTGGAAACTTTTTCAAGCTTATATCCATGCTGTCGTGGTTCATCTGAAGCTGTAAACACCTCGGGCCAACTGAAAACTTGCAAACTGTAAACGCTTCTTTTAAAAAAAAGTATTCATAGTCACTTGGGCTCTCTTAATCTCTTTTGCACTCTGATCACACATTAAAAATGACACTTCTCCCTATATGACAGCATCTTTGAAGCTATTTTCATAATTATGATTATTTTGGATGAAAGACAAATTCAGACTATAAGTAAAGTGCAATAGGCTTCCTTTAACAGCAAAGAAATCTAAACTTCATGTACCTGGACTAAGCTGTATAGACAAATTACCAATAGTAACCACAGTCCATGCAGAAAACATCAATCACCACCACAGTATCACGTTCTGGAACCTTCTGAATGGCTGAATTAAATGGAAAAGTCCTGCTTCCGTCTAAAAGACTGTAACCAAAGCCAAGTTTTGAAATTTGACTAGATCTATCATGAAATTCTGGAGTTTCCCAAGTCGGCATCATGTGCTCAGAACAACTTCCACACAGATTTTCTATTTTTCTTTTACGCAGATGAAAGTCAGTTATTAGTGGAAAGGTCAGTTTGTTGAGGCTGCATGTTTCTCTTTGTAACTAACTGAGGTAGAAAAAAAAAAAAGTTAACTCCTCTTATGCTACTGGAATTCAAAGACATTCTTCAATGCACAGCTAGTATATGTGCACATATATGTGAGCTATTTGGTTTAAATGTGTTCAAAGGTCACTGAGAAGAAAATGCACACAACCAGTGTACCAGAGACCCTGTTATTTATTTAAGGGTAAAGATATGAGCCTTTCTTTGTCTTAGGGCTTTCATGCTCCTCATTTACTCTGCCTTGATTTGAGAACTGCAAAGAACTGCTGACAATCTTACCTCCAGGTTTCAGTATCAACTCCTCACTAACAGACAGCTATGAACTCCAACCTGCAGCTTTCTTCCAGAAGTACCATGGGTATTTAACGTGCAAATCTGAGCAGGCAGCGCGTGCATTCCAGGTTCAGGAGACTTTCAAAAAAGGGCTTCTTGTCTGCCAGCATGGTGTGAGCTTTATCCAGACTCCACAGGTCACATTTTCCTTCTGTGGCTGGGATGAAGCCTGTATTCTGCAGCTGGAGGGCCAGTCACGTCCCAGACATCACCATTAGGTAAATACGGATTTCAAGTCAGTTAATATTCCTTACAGAAATCACCTTGCTGTGCTGTTGTTTTGGGTTTGTTTTGCTTCTGGGCACGGTTTATGAGAGACTGTGTATTTAGGATGGAATGGAGTCTTTAAGTGGTTAGATCAAATTTAACTCTGCCTTACCTTTAGAAAATCTGTGTCAAAAACCCACTTCTAGCTTTTAGTACTCGCACCATGAATTTCAAATGAATAAACTGCCTATTTAAAAGTTTAGAAGTCAAGTTGCAGTCTAGTTTTGACCAGGGCAATGAAAATGCCAGTACCTGGATTATGGATAAAGAGGGTTGCAGAATCGATGCACTCAACAAGAACTACACAACACCACTTTGAAACCTTTGTGTCACATATCTCAAGATACCTGATTGTAAGCGACAGATGTTACTGGAAAGTGGAGAGGATAGATACAACAAAAAAAAGGATTAAGTGTTTTCAACAGCAACTTCAAGGTATTACATTGCTCTTATCTGGCATAAAAAAAATCTACCTCAATAGACACTGTATGTCTGAAGAAAAGCTTGTATTTTCCCCACGACTGAGCTGGAATCTAAGTAGAATGCTGTTTGATTTCCTGGATGAATTAGAGCCCTTCACCTATTTTGCAATTTTAGGGGCTTTCTACTCTAAATGTATGCTCCACACATACTAGTTTTCATCAAAAGAACCAAAACCTGAGTAACTCCATTGTTTATAGGCACGAAGTCAACAAGATTTTCCAGCACAGTGAGAAGGAGCAATAGCTGGTTGTTAAAACTTGTGGGTCTTTTTGCCACCTCTCCGCAAACAATATTCATAAGCCCGTAAGAATGTGAGATCATCGTTTAAGTAGTTATGTGATATGACACATTTATACCTAGGGAAAAAAACAAGTGTGCTGTTGCAGAATCCCCATTTTGTCATCATGCCTTTTTAGCACATCTCTGAACATCCACGCCATTTTGAGTTGTCATCCAAAAGAGCAGACCCATTCATAAACATCAGTAACTTTTTATTACTTCTTTCAACTTCATATAAACTAAATTAAAATTTAATATACATTACTTAATTCCTGAAGAAAGAAACCAGCTTTTCAAAATATCTGCCAGAGGAATATCAATACAAAAATCTCAGAATTGTCTTGAAACAGAATTAAATTACTGAAATTCTGAATGTTATTGGCAAGATATCGGCAAGAATGTCAGCCTTCTCCTGCAGCAGTCAGGATACTTACAAGTACTAACAAGCTAGCACTCGATATTCACAGGGTTTCCTCATATATTTCCAAAATTCTCATAATACTCGATTAAAAGAAAAAAAAGAAAAAAAAGAAAAAAAAAGCCTGCCTCTTGAGTAAAAAAGAATCCCAAGGCACCTATTAAAGCGCACTAACTAGTATAGCTGACTTTGAAGATGCATTTCTCATCTTCAATCAGGCCTAGATGCCTTACCTTGGTAAGACTTGCTAGACTTTTTTTCATAAATTGCTTTGTACAGTTAATAAGCTTCTAGGACAAAAAATGCAGCATGAGCTTCTGCCTCTCATGACTATCGTGGTCTGTCTGTAACTGAAATTCAGTCAGTTACAGAAATTCAGTCAGAAATTCAGTAGAAACCATGGCTTCGTCCAGCACATTAATTCTCAAGGGATAATTTCTCTTGACATGCTAGGGTTTGAATCAGGCCCTTTCAGAACAAATACTCTCATTTTCTAAACAAAAAGAGGGTACTACAAATACAGCAGTTTATTCCAAAAAGATGGTTTTACTACAAAAGGAGTTCCGCAGTATTCAGACCTCCCTGAGGGTTCAGACCCAAGCTGGAGGGTTAAAAAAAGTCACTGCCAGAGAAACTACACAGGTAGAAAAACAGTGTTTTCTTTAGGAAAACAGCGGTTCAGCGTTTTGCCGTTTTCAGAGAATCCCAGCCTGCAAACGAAAAGGAAGGAAGTGTAAGGCCTGTTGGTTACTTTCTTTCTCTTTCAGCTCAAGCTAACATATATCTTGTTTGACTTAAACATTCATCTCCTAACCTAAACTCTTCATGCACACAAATGAATGACAGGAGAAGGTTGCACAGAAGCTTTTGCTGACATGGGAGTAAAATCCTCGTTTTTTCATTAATCATAGCACTAAAGGCAAGAGTGAGCAGTCAGCCATCCTTGAATGGCAGATGGCTAGGATGCAGCAGATTTACTATCAGCACATATCTTCTGCTAATAAATATGCAGTAGCAAAGAGAATGCATAAACCAAGAGGGAAAGTCATCTACTGGGAGAAACTGCTGAAGCTAAACTGACCTTCAAGATTCTGAAGAAATGACCTCAGGTCCTTTGTTACCTGAATAAAAACAGAATAGGTCCCACACAGTGTACGTTTCAGCTCAGCAGCCACTTTAAGAAAACAGATGATCAACTGCAGTCCACTAAGAGTCATCAGAATAGAGAGTAAAATGATGGTCCATTCCACAGCATTAGCAGGTTCAGCACATTGAGACCAAGCAGAGTAATCTGTGAGGTATCTATCAGAGAAAAAGCAATGTGAGGCAAATTAAACTGACTTTTCCAATCAAATTTAAATACACATTATTTTACCTTTACTATATAGAAAACCCATACTATGCCTTATATGCTTGAAGTTTAGGGCTGGTCTTTCATTACAGTAGAGTAAGTCCCAGATAAGTTTGCCAAACTCAGCTGAATAAAGACTTGGGTTCCTCAACTGCTTCATTAACTTCCCAGTAAGACACCCAAATGTTAAGAGAGATGTTGCTTTCCTCCCCTCCCCCCAAAGGAAGAAGCCAAGCCTAAAGAAGGGACTTCCTTCCCTGATTTAATTTCAGCTTTTGATTATGTCTAGATGACAAAGAGTAGGAACATCCAAAAATTCTGACCAGTGGATGCAGCCTGTGTGGCAGAGCTGAGGTGTGTCACCATATGCAACTTCCAGAGCCACATTCTGCACACTTGAGGAATGTTATGTGCCCTTTTAACTGAGACATGCTATGGCCTGGCGGTTCATTGCAAGAAGCTTTGTTGGTTATTTTCTAAACATCCATCATTTTGAAGACATTGTTCAGCACCTGGCCCTTTAAGTTAAAATCAAGCTTCCATTTTATGCACATGTATTTTCAAACGGGATGGCAAGGCTGGCAATACATAACAGAGACTGCAGGATGCATTTCAGGATGTTAAAAGAGAGCTGATTTCAATCAGAGATGGCAATATCTATTTTATAGGAACTACTCCTGTTTATGCTGAAGAGATGTGCCTATGATTCAATGACAAATTTAATCCTCAGCACATTCACATGCAAGTGGAAGAGCCTGGTATCATACGCTGTGAAAAATCCAAGTCTTGTAAAACTTTGATTTTTTTAAAGGGATAATGCAAAATCTTGTGGAAGCATCCCCGCATTATTGATCTCATGAAATGTTTCAAGCTACCATAGTCCAAAACACCAACAGCACTTTGCTCAAGTATTTTATGAGATGTTGCAGCAGTATGCATAACCTTCCAATGATCAAACTGCAGACTTCATTGAGTTTAGGTGTTAAAGGGAAACCTCCTGAGTTATTAAATATTAAAACGACATTCATAATCTTTGAATGAAGAACTTGAGGAATTTGAGAGAATATTATGGAAGTATACATCTACAGAGCATCTAATCTTTTATTCTTTGCTACACAAAGTTGTGATCATCATCAGATAAAGTCTGCTTGTCTCTACAGACCTCCAGGTCTGATCAGTACAAAGATTCTTACCTTTAGAATTTATCATTAGGAGGCAAATAGCTTTCTTTGAAGATGCTGTTGCTCACTGAACAACTTAAAAATGTCTTAGAGTATAGGTTTTGTGCTCAAGAGACTGTGCCATCTTTTGTAAAGCCCCGAGAAAATCAGTAGAATAAACTAGTTAAAACTGATGTTTCTTACCCTCCAACAGTATCTTTGAAGATGTAATCCCATCCACTGGATGAATTGCAGAAAGGGCCTTGGATCAATCCCAAGGTAAAAATGATGCAACTGTATCCAGAGAAAGCAACTCCAAGCATGGCTAGCACAATTGAAATAAAACTCTGAAGAGAGAAAAATATTCCTGTATGAGAGCAGTCTCTGCATCATGTGTATTCACTGTCCTTGCCAATCTACTTCTTTGGGGTTGAATTTCACATGTGGTTGTCCCAGTCTTCACTACTGAGAGAAAAATACTAGGCAATAATCAGTAAGCATAAACTCTATCTTTACTCTGTTTGTGTAAGGCAGTTCCATAATATCAGTTAAGTACTGATGTTTTTTAAACTCACATTCCTACAAAACTGTATCCCAGAATGCAAGAGGAATATAAGCGCATATTTAATATGTTCGCATTCCAGATAGTGCTTATTGAGTCTGTACTGGGAAAAAAACAACAAAAAAAAACACAAGGAGATGAAACTATTTAGATGGAGAACTCTGTTAGAACACTCCAGCCTTCTTATTTTATCTTGTTTCACTCTACAAAGATTTTTTTCCATCCTGAATATGCATCAACAGGAAAGAGCTGCCCTTTCTGCGACCTCTCAACCTGACTCAGAATCCTTTTTCTGTGAAAAGCAGCAGAACCAGAGCAGAGGAGAAGGATGTACAAGAGACACAGGAGGAGGAAGCCATGTAGAACAAATGCCAGAGACAGGCAAAAATAAAAGATAGACTCACTCTGTAGGTTTTGTTACAGCTCTCACTTCGGCAGCACCGATAGAATGCATTACACTCCAGTGCTATGAGAATTATTGCCAACAGAAGAATCTGTAAGGGAACACAGTGAGTGACTGCAGCTGTAGTGAGACAAATTCTCTTCCTTACCAACACATGCTTAAAAAAAAAAAAAAAAAACAGAAGTCAGTAGTATGGTGAACTTCCATTTGCTTACTGGATTATTTAAACCTGATACTAGAAGTTTAATAAATAAGATTTGGGCTCCAGAATCACAAGCTGCCACTCAGAAAGGCATTCCTTTGAATAAGGAAAAACGAGCAGTGTTTCTGAAACAGTTTGGAAAAACAAAGAAGGCCCTGGATTTGTCACTTGAAAGGGCTGTTAGTAAAAAACTGCAAGAAAAAAAGAGCTTAGAGCTAATTCCAAAATACAATGGTTATCAGTCATAGCAGCACTTTAGGTAAATCATTGTTTGGAAATACATAAGATGAGCCACCTGAAGCTTTGCTGACATTTGCACTTTTACTGCTGGGATGAGCTCTAGCAGAACATGCTGGCTAAAGTCTAGCACTGTTCTCTCACAGCTAGGAGATGTGTTTCAGTACCAATCACTTCTGAAGCAGCTGGAACCCCTTCATATGCTACCAATATCTCTCTTTCAGTGAGCCTTGGATCCTCTGTATCCTCAACTCCAAAACCCTTCCGAGTGACCTCGAGTCTCCCCTGGGGCTTTCTGTCAGAGGCTCTGAGTGGGACCACTCTCCCCTGCTGCAGTGTAGAACATACTTATTTTTTTTTTACATCTTGTCCTGTCCAGACTAGCCCTAAGGCTACATCATTATCTCCTGTGTTATTTGTTCAAAAGCTTGATGTTGCTCAGAGACCCGTGTGAAATGATTTCTCTTCCAATACATTTAAATTAATGCATTGCAGGTGCTCAAGAGCTTCTCCCTGCTCCAATGCAGCCTGAATCAGCCCATGCCAAATGGCAGAACTACATTTCCACACCTGGGGCAGTTGATTCCAGGTGTACTGGACACCCCTCCAAGCAAACTGCTTTAACATACTGCCCTGTTTGCAACAGGAAAATATACATGCAAGTAATAAATTGTTAAAGATCCGCAGGCTAAAAATGTTTCAAAGTATGAAGGTAGTTTGCAGTTAACTTTTTTCTGGTAAATTTTCCAACTATGTTTCTCCATTAAAATTCTTTGTGTGATACCCTTCTCCCCGTGCTCAGAAAGTTGGGATTTCTTCTGTTTTAGGAAGAGTATTCAATTACAAAAATAAAGTTTTTGTATCTCTCCCAGTTCAGCAACATCGTAAAAACACATAAATCATTGCACATTTGCCCTTTTCTAACACTGATTTTTGTTCACACTCTTATTACTTTACTGATTTCTTTTCCTGAGGCTACAGATCTTTACGAGCCTGGTGAACAGCATGAGCAGTAGCCAACACCACATTATTACTGCAGATGAGCATATTACAAACGTAATGGGAAAAATACACCTACACCAGTCACAGTTCTCTACAATTCTCTGTATTTAGCCTAATAACAGTGACACTGTGAACCACTCCTCTGTATACAGAGCTTAAAAACCTACAGACAGTTATGATAGGCTTTTACAGATTTTTGCTTTGCCTTGCTAAAGAGCTTTAATTCTACGTCCATAAAAGAACAAATCAAAATAGCGCAGTAACACGAGTCCAAGTTAAACATAAACAAAAAGCCAATGGGAAAAATAAATTTGCCTTGTAAAATCACACGTATGAAATAAAGCAGCATACACAGCATGTCATTCAATATATTCACAATTTCTTCAGCTTGATCAAGTTTTTCCCATACTGTTGCAAGAAAGAAATCCATACTTCCTTTGGAAGTGTAATTATCTCACTGCATAGTAACTGAATATGACATGCAATTCTATTGCAAATAATTAAAGATCCATAAAATCAGCACTTACCATCACACCTGAGAAACAGATGCCTTCAAAATACCACACATAGTTGGGATGCTGGTAACTAGCAACATATGAAGCATTCCCATTAGGGAAATATAAAAGGACATTAACAACAATGCTCCAAAGTGCAAGAGGGACCAGCAGACAGCTCAAACAGCTTCCACATGTTTCTAAAGCCATCTCTCAAGAATGATAGAAGTTTTGCTCTTCTAAGCTAACAAAAGATTACAAGGTTTAAAATACAAAAAGTATTCTGACCTCCTGTTTGATTCAGTCACTTCATATGACTCCGCTGCTTAATTGTAGGCAGAAGAACAGACAAATTCTGCTGCCTAAACTACCTGTCCTTTCTAAACATGTCTTTAAGTAGCAGTTTCCCTTCTCAAAGGTCCTCCTTAACGATCTCCCTAATTAAATATGTCTACGAGTTAGACTCAGGAAGGAACATAAAAAAATCTCACTTCCTAGTGACCGCTTAGAAACACTCCTCTTGTTGAAATAGATTCCTGTGCAGCTGTTCTGCAGCATGAGGCAAATGGTTCATCATTACTGTAGCGATAATTTGACCTTACATGGGCTGTTTGACAGATGTCAAACATCTGCACAGAAAGTCCACATTGCCTCAAAGTTCACGCAGATATTGGCCTAAGCTATTACTATTAGAAAATTGTAGCAACACAAATCTAAAGGAAACAGAGGTCCCTTCAACACTTGACTGCACACGAGAGCTCACATGGAGCCCAGCACTGGCTGCTGACATGAGGTATCCCTTCAGAAACACTAACCTGAGTCTTGAGAACAACACAGGGCACACAGAAGTCCAAGCAACACCAGCTAGAAACTGCCAGGCAGATATAATCACATTTCTTTATTATTTTCAGCAGAATGATGAACTGTTTGATGAGATAAATCCTGCTATTGTGCAAAGTTTTATTCTGAACTTACACTTGAGCATATATGGCTACAGATCTGACCTAAGTACATGACAAGAGGTCTGGCTGCTTTCTGAAATGCATCTGTGGCTCTGCACTGTGGGAAGCAGGAGCCAGGCACTTTCCTCATTTTTATTTGTCATTGTTCTGACAGCCCCATGCAACTAAGCATCCATTCCAGTACAGCAGAGCCAGAGCTGTTTGAATGTCAAAGCACAACACATATCTTCTTCTCTTGCCCTAGTACGTTATCAGAAAAGTAATTAAAGATCAAGCTTAAGGTTTACTTAATAGGAAGTTCAACATTACAGAAAAAAATAAGGGGGGGATCTTTTAAAATCAACGATGTCATTTTTTATATATTTCCCAAGGAAATGGGCATGGTGGCACTCACGCAACTGCACCATTTTATTTCCTATCCATTTTCTGCTGTTCTCACTTTTTTTCTCCCAAGAGATTCACTTTAAAGCCTTCAGATGTTACACTGAAGTTCTTCCCATATTTTCTCTTTATTCCCTGATCACCAGGGGCATGTTTTCAAGCCCCCCCCCTCTAACTGGAACCAGTGACAAACCTTCTCCAGCACACTCACAGATGTGGTATCAGTACCGCTCCTTCCGGTAATGGAAAACAGCTGAATTAAAAGCAGGCGCATCAGAACCCAGGATTGATTTTTATTACTAGACTCATAATTCATTTAGTAAGTCAAAATGTTTTCTTTTTTTTTTTCCTTCCTAAAAGCAAAGGCCTGAATTATTACTGAGTGGGTAACTTCCCATAATAATCTGCTCTGTTTAGAAGAAACTCACTAAGAAAATGACACCTGAAATAGCATCCATTCTAGTGTGCCAACACACCACATGACTCACTTCATATTTAAACTGAGCTCTGCAAATGTCACATCAAAGAGTGTTTTGTTGCCACACATACTGCCAGAACAGGACACCACCATTTTACACCAAGTATTAAGCAAGCCTGGCAATTAGTTTCTCAAATATCTTAAGCGCTGCAAAAGCTGGATTCCTGTTGCTTGCCAACGTCCATGAGTCCATGCAGAGCTCATTACTGAAAACCCTTTGTTGACTTTGGATGATTCATCTCCGTTAACCCAGATGAATCCAACCCAAAACAACTGCTTTTCTACAATGTAACTAATAAAACTCCCCAAAGTCAGCCATTAGGCACTGAAGGAATTTAAGCAGCTTATTTTAACAACAGCAACATAAAAACTGAGTGGTGACGTTAGTGGTGCTACACAGTTTTAGTTCTAAACTCTCCCCTAATCATTCTGTTCATTGGCGTGCCTAACCTAGTTTCAGTTCCCTAGTTATATGTATCAGAAAGACAAGTAATAACTATGCAAGTGTACAGGTAAAATCTTTAAACTTTCTGGGAATTATACCATATTATACCATATTCCATCATATTTTGTTCTCTTCCTCCTATCCTTGATTTCATACCAAATTTAACCTTGCAAATCCTCTTTCAAAGTGCTTTTTCATATACAAAGACATCACACTGCACAGCAACAAGGAACTGAGTGCACATACACGCACATCTTCTTTGCCACAGCAGAGCAAGACAAGGATAAATACAGCATGCAGAATCTATACTATACTAAAGCGTGCCTTCACCTAATTCTGCATAGTTTGTGTATGAATGAGTGGTATTGCAAGAACTACCCGTTTGTGTTTAGAAACTCAGCATTCCTCCTATTGAGGGGTTGTTTTTTCGATGTCTTTTTGCTGCCGTAGACCTGTGTGTGCAATTTCCCATTTTCAGTTAACTTCCTTTAACAGAGACACATCTGTAGGTGACAGACTTGGACAGGAGGAGAGAGTGAGGAAAAACCTTGTTTCCGGCTACTTTTAAAGACCGCTCTCCTAGTTAAAAGTAGGACTAACTATGCACTGACACCTGTGGGAAATTCTTTTTCCCCACAGACATAAATTAACTTGTCCATTTTCAAATAAGACATTATCTGCTAGATTCCAAAAGTGGAGAAGTAATAGTTGTCACTCTCATTTTCTTTTAAACCAACGTCATGTTTTGTTCTTTCTTATAAAATGCCACTCCCAGCAGCATACTGACCTTCTCAGTAATGCTATTAGCAGCGTATCATTCAGGTTTACTTTATTATGGGGTAAAACATTTGCTGCAATATGCTACAAGATAAACTTCAGACTCTTGCACAGGGTCTTTGGATACAGGGTCCAGGTTCCTTGTTGGTGAAATGTAATATTTCAGATTAGTCTAGTGCTGCTGATCTGAATTTGAACTATATTGCCCTGCCTGGGGGCAGGCTGGAAACAAGAACGCAGACCCATGGTTTTTCTGTTACAAGACTAGGTAGTCAGGAGGTAAGCAGTCCTTGTGAGTAAAGGAGTTTGAAGACTGAAGCATCTCTTACTCCGACAGTATCTGCTGAGTAGAAAAAGGAGTTGTAACTTCAAAGAATCACAGGGTTGGCAAGGACTTCTACAGGTTATTCAGACTAACCCCCCTTTCAAAGCAGGCTCCCTACAGTAGGTTTCACAGGAAAGCTCTCAAGGGAGTTCTGAACATCTCCAGAGGAGACGACTCCACCACTTCTTCAGACAACTTGTTCCAGTACTCTGTCACCCCTGAAGTAAAGAAGTTCCTCCTCAGTTTCATATTTATGTTCTATGCCACCATTATCTCTTCCTCTAGGATCAAGAAAACAGCTTCAGCACAGGCAGAAACACTGACAGTTGCTGGGTAATTTTAATACAAACCCGTACTTGAAACAGGAGCAGCTTAGAGAAATCCACACTTTAATATCCTAATACTTTTCCAGTTCTTTAAAAGCAGAAGTTCATTGTTGCTCTTGGTCATCCATATTTTACTGTTGCTTTATTTGTTGCTCCAGTGAGAATTAATTTATTTCCAGAGCAGACTACAGTTCACGTTCGTTTCAACATCAGAATGAAAAATGCAACTTTATTGGGAAAGCAGCCTGAAGCACAGAGCTGTCGTGTGAGTACAAAAAAAGAAAAAAAACAAAACAAAACAAAACAAAACTTTATTGATCCCAATTGTCTATGAAATGAACCAAAGCAGCTCATTTTATCTTCAGATGCAGGCAGGTCAGTGGAAAATGGAAAACATGGATATGAATTCAAAAACAGAGCCCTAAGTCAGTTAAATCGGTGGTCGCCATATACTTTGATAACAAAGTGTGCACTTCAGTATACATACAACATTTAAGAAACCAAAAAAACAACAACACAGGATACTCAACACACCATGCACATACACCAACTTCAACCCGTTTTCTTGTTTTCTAGCAAGAAAGTGTCTGTGAGGGAAACAAAAAGAAACAAACACACATTAAGAGGAAGAACACTAATATTGTATCTAACTGTAAGAGCTACAATTAACCCAAGCAGATCTAGAGAGCCATAGCACAGCATTGTAAACCCCAGTAACAGCACAGAAGATAGGAAGCAGAAGACAGTAATGCTTTCAAAGTGCCACAGCATTCAACCACATCAAATCAAAATGCAAAATGCTCTGGGCCATAACATGCACACGTTATAAATTGTATCATTTCATACTATAAGGCAATTCCAACACTACATCTATGAGGCTGCAATGCTACAATGTGGTGGAAAGCACAGCAACAACAATGGAGCAGCAAAGTCCTATGCTGCAGTAACTGAGGAAGAGCCCAAATGCAGCAGCTGTGGGCACAGAAACAAATGAAAAAAAATTGCTTACCCTCAGAAGGCCTCAGGGATACAGGCATCTCCAGCAAGAGATACCCTCAGCTCCACTGCCAACCCTAAATGAAGTCTGGGAAGGGATGGATCCTGTCTCCAGCCCTTCCAGTCACTCAGTACATTGCATGCACCTGAGATCCTCTGGGCTGGCCCTGCCTTCTCACCAGGTGCTCCATCACTGCTTCAAGCTGTGACCCAGCATTTCCACTACAGACTGATTTTAACAGAAGTCTCAAAGTGTCTAACAAGATGCTAAAGAAACTAGAGGATTTTCCCCTTCCTCACTCATAAAAAACAAAAATATACAAAAGCAAACCTTCAAGAAGTCCTTCAGATTTGTCTGTCAGCTTTACTATGTATGTGCAGTTTAATTCCTTCTCTTATACCACATCTACTAAGCAAGGTTTTTGCTGCAGTTTTTATTACAAATGACACACATATTCTCAGTAGTCTATCTGCTATTGTGAGCAAACTATGAGGCTAAAGTAATACAGCTAGAGGAAACAGCCTGCCACAAAACTCTGTCACACTGCAATAATGGCTTAGGCTACAACAAAGATCCTTGCCAGTCTCAGATACGTATTTTTGTTGTATCACCTACACAGTGCTGATGACCATATATACCACAGTGTACACGCAGCCCTTTCAGTTCACATGAAGACTAACTTCACTGCAGACAGCTGAGCAAATAGCTAAATGCATGTAGTCAAATACTACATGAAAATGCTGAACACAACAGGGTCACATTAAAAAATGCAAATTGTACACTCATTGCTGCTTAAGAATGCCAGAAAAACAGCTGCTAAGCCCCTGCAGTGCTATCAGTAACAATACTATTTAACTCTCTACTAGCTGAAAAAATGGCTTACCTCATCACTGCCGCAGCACAGTCTACACACTCCTCCAAGAATACCATTGACTACCTGTATGGAGCACAGGATGAACTCTATTCCTCCCAAGACCAAGAGAATGGAAAAGAGAGTGACATTCCACTGCACGATGTTTTGAGGTTCTTGACATTTAGCCCACTCATCATAATCCAACAAGTACCTGTACGCGTCAAATGAAAGTATAGTAAAATTGTGTCAGATTAGGATGCTGACAATACAATAGAAATAAACTTCATCTGGTATGCAGTTGCATTAAGGATAATCACTCAGCGGGAACACAAAATGTAAGGGCTCATTCCATGCAAATCCTGCTCTGTTTGAGTACACGTTGAACTATGAATCACACATTTTGGCTAAGTCTTAATTTCCATTAAAACATCTGATTTAGAAAGGCAAAATCTTCTATTATTGATCAAAATAAGATACAATGTCATGACAGTTGAAAGAGCACAACAACTTTTTGAAACAAACAGAATTTTCCAGGATAGGGTGTTTAAAGGCAGCAGTTACTAATTTGAAGCCAGTGGGTCACTTCATTTTTTGTGCTGTTGCCTCTGGGCCTTCACATGCCTAGTCTGCACTAGTCACACATAGAATAAATTCAGAGGAGAATTGGAAAAGATTCCAGCAGCTCCTTCTCTTCCATTTTGCTAGAACACAAGCACTGATGAGCCATGAGCAAGGAATTAATTCAGCTCTTCTATATTCATCCATAAGTTGAGAGAGGTGGGGAAGAAGGAATGCCTCTTCTCACAAGGAATGCTACTAAAATGTACAATTCCAAATCTCTGCTGCAAAGGATCTTGATGTGGCTCAAGGTTCCCTCAAAGTCCTAAAAGAGTACATCTTATGCTCACATGAACTGTATGTAGTACACAGATATATTTGCCTGCATATATTAAGAGAAAGAGACCTATACAAGACAGTAATTTATTAACAGCATCATTCAATTACTTACAAGTATCCTTTATCAGCTTGTATTAAGAGCACCATTTTGCACATCCTTCAGATACTTAATGTCACAACTAATCAGCATATTCAGACATGTAAAACTGAGGGATTTAAATTTATTGTGCTTTAAACTCCAGCAGTGTGAGCAATTCTGATCCCATCTGTTTAGCTAGCGAATAAGGAGCAAAAACTTATGGATGGATGTTGGTACGTTGTTACTGAACATTGCTGCAAGGTCCAGGAAAAGAACAAACACTGTATGTGCATGGAGAAAGATGTAATGTACGGACAGACAACTTACCCTCCAGAGGATTCAGTGAAAGGATAGATCCAGTTTCTTTCTACACGAGTAAAACAATATGGTCCCTGAGACAAGCCCAGTGCTGAAATGATTATACAGTACCCAGAGCCAAGGATCCCAACACAGGCTGCCAGAACTGAGGACAGCATCTGCAGGGCAAACACAGACATGAGAGTTGAGCACAGTCTTCTCAGTGTCCTGAGGGCTGTCTGGGGCTGCAGTGTGAAGGCTCGCTTACCGCACAGCTTTTCCCACAGTTCTTATGGCCAAAGCACCCGCAGCAGTCATCATTGTGAAGTCCAATGAATACTGCAGCTGGAATGAGCACCTGGGTATGGGGCAAACAAAGCACACTGCTCTCTGTTCTGTTTTGCTACATAGACAAGATAGACAAAACACAGTACTTACACTGCATTCACTTGCATTGCTTGTTGGCAGTGTTGGGGTGCCTGTATAGGTTATCCAGTTTTACATTTATTTAACACAGTAGGAGTCTCACTACTCATCTCAGTAATACCAACAACAGGATAGGTATAGTTCTACTTGTATTTTGTGCACAAATAGCACGTAAGTGCACAAAGAGCCAGCTGATCAAGATCACATTGTGGAATTAACGTAGCTTGAGACGTTTCAACTTTAAAATGTTGCAGTTCTCCCTAAAGGCTGTATACAGCAAACAAAAAGCTTTAAAGAAAAGAGAAAAAAATAAAAACCCTTCATTTACTTTCTGCCAAAAGAAAACTAATGATAAGTCTCTGAAATACGTTTCAACCACCAGTGAAGTTTCCAGAGACTACTCACTGAAGTGTTACTATTGTCTGTGTGACAAATATCCTAAGCAAGACATCTCACTACAGACATCTAGCTTTCTCTAGGATTTCACATTCACAAAATTGTCAGAGACAGAAGAGCAAAGCAACAAAGCAGACACCATCCAGAAATTCTGGCATAAAATCAAGAAGGAGAAACAAACACAGAGCTGATTAAACAAAGTATACTCCCCACCATCAATAATAGGATTTAATAATACTTTACACTTACACAAAGGCATCATATCCAGAAATACCTCAGAAAACCATACAGAAAGAGCATAGTGAGCAAACACCACAGATTTACTTAACGAGACAGAGCAGAGTCGCATACTAGTCACAGCCTTTACTAAAACCTTTTTCTAAGCCCCACTGCTTCAGGTGCAGAAGAGGTTGGGCAAGAGTGTGTTTGAGAAGTAGCTCCATCAATTTCACTGGGATTAGTCTGCGTGGAAAATCAGCCTTTTAAAATCTCAGTCTGGCTTCTGATAGGGCTGTAACACAGCTTGCAAGCACTTCTCACAAGACAGTCTTATCATGCAGTGGTTTTCAACCTGTGAATTGCCAATGCCTTGAGACTAAGACGACTGCTAAAAGTGAATGAAGAAGCAAGCCTAGATTTAGAGAACTTAAACATGCTAAATTCCATTCTGCAAAATTGAAAAGGCAGAAAACAATTGCTTAAGATTAAACAGGCTCTTACAGTGAACTCACTTAGTTCTTCATCCTTGGCTATTACTCTAACGTAAAGCTCTGCTAACTGCTATTTGATTTCTCTGAATAGAGAAGTAAAACAGAAGAACAACTGTTGTCTTACCACATACTAGATGTCATACATTTAAGAAATGTAATTAAATACTAGTTATCTACGGACATTAAAAAGGAGAATAGCTGACTAATAGAATAAAAATGTAAGATTTAACCTTTAAATAAAAACATCCCTCTGAAAGGTCTGGTTCTAGTACTGCATTTGGGGTCTACGACCTATATCCTAATTCTCAGCTCAAAAGAGATAGAGATTTACAGATATGACAATTAATAGTAACTAATAATACTATGGTGCAATTTCTTTTAAATACAACTGCTGATTTCTTTTAAATACAACTCCAGAGATTCCCACTGACAAGACATTCAACAAATAAATTAATGCAATGGTAAAGAAACAGTAATAGCAAGTAGCTTCAAAATAAACTTGCAAGAATGCACTAGCTTGTTACTTACCAAAAGGCCTCCACCTAGAATGCCATGAAGGCACTCCACATATTTGCTGAGATGATGCTCAGAAGCAAATCTTGTTTCTCCATTGGGAAAATAAAGTAAAATGTTGGCAGCAATGCTGAGCAGGGCAAGGATGAGCAACTTACAACCAATACACCTGGCACACCTTCCAAAACACATGTCCACAGCTTCTCAAATACTTCTTTCACTAGTTCAATCCAACCTATCTCATATTTATCCACACCTAAAAGAAGATCAGTCTTTATTCTCACCTCTTTAAATACTCAGGGTTACCTAGCTACCTGGATGACGTATAAAATGTCTTAATGACTATCATTCCCTCATTGTCAAGTCAGGGAACAAGGACAGCAGAATGTCATCACCCACTTTAAATGAAATAATTGTTGACAAACCAAATGCAATCAAGGAAATACTGAATGCTAGGTAACTTCACTTTAATACATGATGCATGACATGATCACCAGTGAACAAAATTAGACATGAACAGTGGCCTCAAACAACAACAGAAGTTCTTTTAAGAACTGAAAGAAAAAGGTTGTTTCCTTTCTTTGAAGCAGCTTTAATACTTAGGTTTATAGACTGATTCAGAACAAGCTGAAGCTAGGGAAAGACAAGGCTGACTTCAACAATGCTAAATCAGAGATTTGGGTATAAACAGAATAAAGTCTACAGCAAAGAGAAGTATGCAGGGGTGCCTTCTGTTTTGCTACCTGGTTAATGGAACAAGAGCAAACATCATCAGGATGTTGGGGAACAAAAAAAGAAATGCGCAGTTGGGCTTTTAAGAAATGCACTTGTTCTTGCCATTGTAGATTAGCAACCATTAATTAAAGCTACCATCAACAAACACTGGTGAAAAATACTGCTTTCTAAACAGATCATAGAATAACCTTCTTGCAATGAA